ACTCTTGACAGTGTCTTTCACAGAGTAGGCCATTTTTTTTTTTTTTTAAGACAGAGTCTCAAGCTGTTGCCCTGGATAGAGTGTTGTGGCGTCATAGCTCACAGCAACTTCCAACTCTTGGGCGCAACTCTTGCCTCAGTTTTTCTATTTTAGTAGAGACAGGGTATCACTGTTGATATATGTTATAATATTTAATGTCATCATTATTAATATCATTCTCTTGTATTCACTTCTCAGGCCATCTGGTTCTGCCTCTACCTTTTTCACTTAGTGTTACCAGAGTTAGCAAATAAAAATAGAGGACATCCAGTTAAATTTGAGTTTTTGATAAACAATGTGTAATGCTCCAGTTCTCCTGATCTCTTTGGCGTGGCAAAAATGTTCCTTCTTCCTTGTTAGAGGAGAATATCTTCTTTGACATCTCACATAGGCAGATGCCTTTCCAAATAACCCTTGTCCTCAAAAAAAAAAAAAAAAGTCTTACCTCCCTGAATATGCACAAAATAATAACCAGGACTGGTCTTAGCATAGCCCCAGTAAGAAAAGTCAGTGCTACAAGTGGCTTACTTACTCAAAGAGTTGCAGAACATGGCTAAAATTATTGGCAGAAACAGAGGAACATATGTGGGAATGGACCTTCAGGTGCTGGACTGGGAGGGAGGTCAGTTGTGCTGGTGTGCTGAACATAGAGCTGGGATTCAGGAGGACATATTGACAGAGAATCACTCTTCCACATCTCAAGGTCCTGGCAAATACATCTGGAGACAGTCTGGCAGGCAGAATAATGGTTCTTAGAGAAAACTACATAGTTAAGTCCCAGAAACTGAGAATAAGGCTGCCGATGGCATTAACATTGCTAATTAGCTGACTTTAAGCTAGGGAGATTATTTAGGTAGCCCCAATATAATCAAAAGGATCCTTAAAAGGGGGAAGAATGTTAGAAGTTAAATGTGACTAGGATGTATGTTGCTGCCTTTGAATATGGAGAAAGGGACAGTGAAGCAAGGGATGTGGATGGTCTGGAGAAGCTGGAAAAGACAAGGACACAGATTCTCCCTAGTCTCCACAAAGGAACATCCCTGCTGCCACCTTGATTTTAGCCCAGTGAGACGTCAGAATTCTGATCTATAGAATTTTAAGATAATACAGTTGTGTAGTCTTAAACCACCAAGTTTGTGGCAATTTGCTACAACAATGGAAAACAAAAACAGACTTGACACCTGTAGTTCAATGGTTAGGGCGCCAGCTACATGCATTGGGGCTGGCGGGTTCGAACCCAGCCCAGGCCCACTAAACAATAATGACAAAAACAACAACAACAAAAAAAATAGCTGGACATTGTGGTGGGTGCCTGTAGTCCCTGCTACTCAGGAGGCTGAGGCAAGAGAATCACCTAAGCCCAAGAGTTTGAGGTTGCTGTGAGCTGTGACACTACGGCACTCTACCAAAGGAGACATAGTGCGACTCTGCCTCAAAAAAAAAAAGGAAACAAAGTCTTAATATACTTCTAGGATGGCTTATTACAACTTGGACAGGAATGATGGCCTTATAGCAAATAAGGCAGAAATACTGGAACTAATTAGCAGAGTACTGAGAAAGGGGTCAGCAAGCTCATTGTGTATAAAAATGAACTTATTATATCAGATCTGAAAACCCAATAGCTGACTATGTTACCTCAGAGAACCCAAAGAACTCCTCCTTCACTAAGACAAGAAGGGTGTAACTCATCAGTAGTGGCTCTCTGTGTGATTAGCAAGAGATTCTGCCATGGAACCAAGTGCACTGGTGTCAACAAGGATGCTGATTTGCAGAAGCCAGGTGGTGGCATTTAGCTGTCAGAGATAAGGTGGACATAAGGACTGTGATGGGCAACAAGACCAGGATGGTAACTAGGGTGTCTTGACTCACAGGGATCTGTGGCAATGGCTAAGACCTCCTGGTGTCCCTAGGAAAGACAGATAGCCAGTGGGATGATGCCTTGACTTGTGTTACCAACTCCCCCAAGTGGGTGGTGCCTGTGGCTCAGTGGGTAGGCCCCATATACTGAGGGTGGCAGGTTCGAACCCAGCCCCAGCCAAACTACCACAAAAAAATAGCTGGTGTTCTGGCCGGCACCTGTAGTCCCAGCTCCTTGGGAGGCTGAGGCAAGAGAATTGCCTAAGCCCAGGAGATGGAGGTTGCTGTGAGCTGTGACGTCACAGCACTCTACCGAGGGCGATAAAGTAAGACTCTGTCTCTAAAAAAACAAAACAAATAAAACTCCCCCAATAGCTGATGAAGTTGATAATCAGCCCATGTGATGGGAAACTGGAATCCTTTCCCCTTTCCAGATCTGAGCTAGTTCTCAGAATCCAGAATCCAATTGAAGGGAAGGTTGCTTTTCTTTCTTTCTTTTTTTTTTTTTTGAGACAGAGCCTCAAGCTGTCCCCCTGAGGAGAGTGCCGTGGCATCTCAGCTCATAGCAACCTCCCACTCCTGGGCTCAAGCGAGTCTCCTGCCTCCGCCTCTCAAGTAGCTGGGACCACAGGCGTCCGCCACAACGCCTGGCTATTTTTTGGTTGCAGCCGTCATTGTTGTTTGGCGGGCCCGGGCTGGATTCGAACTCACCAGCTTGGGTGTACTTGGCTGGCACCTTAGCCACTTGAGCCACAGGCGCTGAGCCAAGTTTGCTTTTCTTTAAAGACTCTTCCAATTCTACCACAAATACTCCCCCACAAAAAGACTGACTATTCTCTAGAGTAGGATACTATGGAAAGGGAATGTCCAGACCTTTTGAGGCTATTGGATACAGGGTGTAAGACAACACAGATCTAAAACTGCATCACTGCCCTCCAGTGAGGTCAGCTGATAGATGGGAGCCCTGTCTCAAATCTCTATCAGGGTCCCAGTGTGTATAGAAATCTACTTTATAACTATGTTCCTGAGAGGATAACGAGGATGAATGCATTTAGCAGGGGAATAGTTGCTAACATTTGTTACCTAAGTGGTGGGGTTGTGGGAGGATGGGCCAAGTGGAAACACCTAGACATTCTTGCCCTTTTCCAGACATCCAAGATGAAAAATTAGAAACAATACCACGCCCTGCAGGGAAGTGATTACTGCTGCCCTCAAAGATGGAAAAGACTCAATTCTGTGCAGCTCCTGTAAAAGACAGATGAATTGCAGCTGATGATGGTTGTTTGCCACAAGTGCTATGCAGGGTGCACTCTTTACTGGGACAGAACAACATGGCCTCTGGCTCTTGATAAGCATCTACTGATCTGTGAAAACATTCTTTTTCATCTCCATTTACGTTGAAGATCAAAATCAGAAATAGAAAGGTCTACAGAATATATTCACTCTTGATCCCAGGCTGTGTCAGCCCTCCTGCTGTTCCACACAGGGGACCTGGTTTATTATTTTTTTTGAGACAATTTTATTTTGTTGTCCTTAGTAGAGTGCCCAGTGACATCACAGCTCAGAGCAATCTCAAACTCTTGGGCTCCAGTGATCTTCTTGCCTCAGCTTCCCAAGTAGCTGGGATTACAAGTGCCCACCACAACGCCTGGCTATTTTTAGAGATGAGTTCTTGCTCTGGCTCAGGCGATCCACCCACCTCAGCCTCCCAAAGTGCTAGAATTACAGGCGTGAGCCACCGTGGCCAGCTATGGAACCTGGTTTTCTGACATTCCACAGAACCTCATTCTAGTAATGATATCATAAGGACCAGATCTGGTGTATGGGAAGTGGCAACGGTTTTTGGATCGCTCAGGAAAACACATGCATACAGAACACAGGAGATAAACCCTACTGATTCAAGGACCTTCCAGAACATTTAAGTTCTTCAGGGTTCAAATGTCTGAGGCATGCTGGGAAATTCTAAGGAAACAATCAAATTACTGTTTTGCACTCACTAACCAGCAGTGTTTGGTGGGCTCCTGGGATTTTGGAGGCAACATATATACCACACTTAGAGATGCCCTTCCAACCTACTTACTAGATCAACTAGAGAGCTGCCGTTTTCCTTTGTGGCCCAAAGACATACGGCCAAGTACCACACAACTGGGCAGATACAAATGGTGTTAGAGGTGGTACCTATGGTGATAAAACTGTGTGTAGAGGTCCAGTAAGCCCCACTAGGAGCTTAGCAATAGAATTCAAGAGCAAAGCCACAATTCTGCAGCAAATTCACAATGTGAAAAGCAGCTCCTGGGACGCTACTGGCTGGAAGGCATCAAGTGACTATGAACTGGAGCTGCTGATCATAAGCTGAGCATTATTAGGTCAGTCATGTTATCCAGAGCACAGAGCAACGATCTGTTACACAAAGGAAATGTCATAATTGCTATCAGGCACGGGCAGTGACTGCCTTGCACCTGCCTTTGTTGCACTGACCTTTGCCTCCTGGCCCTCCTCTGGATTCATGGAAGACTCCCGTCAACCATTTAATGGAAGAAGAAACCACCAGGATCTGTTTTACAGAGGGACTGGCTCCGTATGTTGGTCTGATCCAAAAAGGCATTGTTATACTACAGCCTTACTCAGGGTGGCCCTAAAGGCCAGCATTAGAGTAAATCCAGTAGGCAGAGCTTAAAGCAGTATATATACATGTACATACATGTCTATACACATACACACACACACACTTAATGGAAACAAGTCTTTATTAAGTAACTTTTAGTATCAGAAAAACAAAACTCATAATTCTCTTTACAGCAATAGAATTGAAAAGCCTATTTGGCACTAACTTTGTATGGAGGGAAGAGTGGCCTGAGGCAAAGGTCACATGGACTCCTGGGTTGTGGAACAGCCTACATGAACAAAGAGTAAGGCTGAATCTGGAGACAAGATCTGAGGAAGACTTCAGCCTATGAATGAACCCACAGGAGCTGACAGTGTGTAGATCTTTGTGTCAGAAACTATCTCCGGCTGAAGTACAGTAACAAGGTGTCTGGGAAGATAAGGGCAGTACAAATCTGTAATCCACCCCCCCCTCACCAAAGTTGGGGGGTGAGGGGTAGCCTTCCAGCTTAGCGGGATTCTTCATTTCCCTCTGGTGCCCACCAAGAGCAGCTCCAGCAGGGGTACTGCCTAATCGACAATTAGTTGCTAAAGAGTAATTCTTGTAGGCCTTCATTATGGTTAATATACAAACACAGTCACTAGTAAATGTACTGAATTTCAGGTGCTGGCAGGACATTTAGATCTCTAGCAAGTTACTGTTAACAGTAAGAAAATTATAGTTTTCAAAAACCACTGATTCTATTTCAGCAATACCTTACTCTCCCCACAATAAATCTGGCTAGTACATGAAGACTTATCACCTGGAGCCTAATCTGATCTCCAAGATGGCATACAGGGCAGTTTCTAGAGATCAGAACTGGTGTTAGACATGAAACTTTATTGTCCTGAATCCTGGCTTGGCAGGGTGCCGCAGTAAGTGAAAAGATTATTACAGTGACTAACTTATCAGAGGCAGAAAAACCTGTCATAATAGAAAGCTAAGCAGGTGATGGAAGGAGGGAGTTCAGTTTCTAGGTAAACCGGAGCACATCCTGGCCAAAAAACATTATAAGGTACAAAGCAAAATATCTTAAGAGGTCCAAGACTGCAGTCAGAGAGAAAAGACAGGCTGGACTTAAGGTAATCATACTGTATATGACTTCTGGAGTTTCAGAAGGAAACTTGTGATTTTCATACTTTGGCATAGACAGTATGTGCCACCAAAATGTATACATAAGGCTCACAAAATGTTACCAATAGTAAAAAAGTGTACTCAGTATGCAGGGGAAAAAACACAACCCAGACCATGCAGCTACTATACATACTCTACCTACCTCAACTCCTCAACATACACATTCACAAGTATCAAAAATCTATTTGCCCCAAATCCAAACTTTCTAAAAGCTAAATCAGTAGGAATAGGAGGCATTACAAGATGTTATAAATTTATTTTGAATCTGATTGAACTGTGTCCATGTGGCTCAATCCTTTACAAATTACAATTCTTGAATATATGTTGAAATAGTCAAATGGTTTTAATGTTTTTTTCCTTAAGTATCTAATTTCACTAGATATATATCAGTTTAACTACACAAAAGGCAATGCTGGCATGGTCTCCTAGGACCCAAAATGTGGGGCAGGGACTGTACCCCAGCCAGCTGGCAAGTATGTAACCTGCTGTCACCATCTGCAGACCTCTGTCTACCATGTCATTGTGGAGCACTCACTCCTCAGCATCTCTCCATGTTGAGTGAAGCAAAATCTATCACTGAAGTTCATATGTAACAACGGGGCTTCCCCCTGGCATTCACGTTCTGAGGTTTAAAAAACCAAAAACAACAAAAAGCATACTTGACAGTTACGGTGCTTCTCCCTCTCCAGTGTGGACGACTCTTTGATGTTTGGAAAGATTTGACTTGCTACAGAAGGTTTTTCCACAATGATTACACCAATAAGGCTTTTCCCCAGTATGGATTCTATGATGTTTATTAAAATTTGAGCTGTGGTTGAAGGCTTTCCCACATTCCTTACATTTATATGGTTTCTCTCCAGTGTGGAGTCTCTGATGTGAACTAAGACCTGCATGCTGACTGAAGCTCTTCCCACATTCATTACACTGATATGGTTTCTCCCCAGTGTGGATTCGGTAGTGGCGAATGAGGCTGCCTTTGCCACTGAAAGCCTTTCCACAATCTTTGCATTGATATGGTGCCTCTTCAGTATGCATCCTCTGATGTTTAAGAAGGTCTGAGCTCTGACCAAAGGCTTTTCCACACTTACAGTCATAGGGCCGGTCCACCAAGTGTGTTCTGTAATGGAGGGTAAGGTTTGAACTGTGGCTAAAAGCCTTCCCACACTTGGTGCATACATAAGGCTTCTCCCCAGTGTGTGTTCTCCGGTGTTTAGTAAGATTTGAGCTATTGCTGAAGGCTTTTCCACACTCAGCACATATGTAACGTCTTTCTCCTGGGGTAGGTTTAGTAGGAACTGATTCTGTACCTTTCTTGGATCCTCTATCTTTAATGAGGGTTTTTGTTCCTCTTTCCTTTTCAAGATTTACATGCTGCCTTTCTAACCTAGCCTCGCATTTATTAGCAAAACTCACAGGAATGATATCTCTTTTGAGTCCATCTGCACAAGATTCCTCTTCAGAACCTTTCTGCTTATTTGTTGATTCCTCAGTTTGGGTATTTGATTTACAATCTGAAACAGTAAGCAGAATAAGGATATGTCAGATGTTTCCTGTTTTGAGAAAGAAACTATTACCAGGGAAAAAACACCACACTCTCACATAAACCCCTGGCTGGAAGCTGTTATGGTATGATGAGTACATGACTTTTTTTGCCAGGAAAAGAATGTCAAACACCAAGGGCAAAAAGCAGCACGCTGGGATGGAAGCACAGGGGATGGATGAAGCTCAGGCATAGAGAAACAAATGAGAATGATTGTTGATGGGCCAAAGCTGATGAAAGAAAATGGCAAGACAAATAAAGAAGAGGCTGAGTGGCAAACTCACAAAACCCATAATCCCACAGCAGCTGGACAGAATTGCAATCAAAGGGGACATTCAGCCATTTATATCATTCCAGCCCCAGATCCTTATCAGCTAGAATGAAAGCACTTTACCCCATGAAGGTTTAACTTTTACCATTAACTGGCTATGTTTTGTAATTTAGTTATAAAGTGACAGTCACTGTTACATTAGATGGGATCAGTTTATCTCCTTAGAGCAGCAGTTCTCAACCTGTGGGTCATGACCCACAGGAACTGTATTCAAGGGCCACGGCATTAGGAACATTGAGAACCACTGCCTTAGAGCATCTCACTAGGCAGTCCCACATCCTCCATTGCACAAAAAAGGGGAAAAAGAGAAATTCACTTTAAAAAATATCATCCCTCTGAGGGTATCAAAGCCTTAGTTAGCAAAGAACCTTCCTTTTAAGTCCTTTCTGAGGAAGTGCTTGACAGTCTCCCTTACTCTCTACCCAACATTCTTTTTTTTTTTTTTTTTGAGACAGTTTCACTTTGTCACCCTCTATAGAGTCCTGTTGCTTCATAGCTCACAGCAACCTCAAACTCTTGTGCTCAAGCAATTCTCTGCCTCAGCCTCCCAAGTAGCTGGGACTATAGGTGCCCACCACAACACCTGGCTATTTTTCGAGACAAGGTCTCGCTCTGGCTCAGGCTGGTCCCCAACCTGTGAGCTCAGGCAATCCACCCTCTACCCAACATTCTATTTCCTTCCTCTGCCAACAGTGAGCACCAGCTGCATTAGCTTAAGTCCCTTCACTCTCTGTGAATATCCATCACCTGGCTACAAGTTACTACAAAGCTATGGACTACAGGTGTGACTTAATTTCCAATCCAATTTTTCTGCTACACCCATACTTCTCAGCTTTTATTTATCTTAGGTGGGAAAGAGCTGGTGGATTGCTTGTGATTATCCTACCATTTTTTTTTTTTTTTTTTTTT